ATGTAGAGTTGGTGAGGGAAATACCACGACCTCCAGGGGTAGGAGAAGGAGCAGGGCACGATGACTCACAGGCCCTCCTGCACCGTCACCCGCTCCTTCAATTGCAGCTCGTACCCTTGCTTCTCCTGCAGGGACCCTGGGGAGACACAGAGGCTCGGTTATGGCCCCAGCACCCCCCGACCTGTGTCCTTCCCTCTTCCCACAGCCCACTCACCCCCCCACAGCAGGGACAGGAGCAGCAGAGGCAGCATGTCTGCAGGTGCCAGGGCCAGAGCCCAGGTCTAGGTCCTTCTGTCATGTAAGGAAGTGCCCTGAATGTGGGGTGGGGTTGAGGAAGCTCAAACAGGAAACCAGTGGCTGAGTGAGAGCTGTGGCCATCCACCAAAGGGGACCATGAGCGTCACGTGTTGGGGAGTGAGATGGGGTTGGGAAATCGACCTGTTCCTTGAGCCCCACCAGATACTGCAGGTGAAGTACCGAGGTCCCCTGAGGGTGAAAGGCTTCTCCAAAGGTCCCCTGAGTGTGAAAGGCTTCTCCAGACGGCATCTGGAAGTGGTCACCTTCCAAATGAGGTTTAAATCAAAAGTGAGGTCACCACGGGAATGAATGCCGATAGAAGAGAAACAGGCCAGTCCTGGTGATTTCGTGAGATGTGTGTCAGACCCACCTCTCAGCTGAAAATGCTGAAATTTGTGTAGGAACATTATTATAATGTTCTTAAAACCATTCAAGCACTGGCGAAAAAGAAATTTTCAGACCCAAATCTAGTGGAGGGTTGGGCCCAAAGAGGAGAGCTGAGCACTAAAGCACCTTGCACTAAGGTGCAACTTTGCCTTAAGGCACTGCAATGGGTTAAATATGTTCCCCCAAATTTCATGTATTGGAAATTTGACCCCATTGTAGCAGTGTTAATGGGGTGGGAAATCCAGTTATAGTATGATGGGCAGAGGCTGGGAGAATCTGGAGAAGCAGGCTAGAAAAAGCCTGGATTCTGGTGAGGACTTAGAAGACAAGAAGATAAGGGCAAGGTTGCCGCTTCTTAGAGACTGGCTAAATGGTGGTGACCAGCATGCTGATAGAAATATGGACAGTAAAGGCCATTCTGAGGTGGTCTCAGGTGGAAATCAGGAAGAGCTTATTGGATACTGGAGCAGAGTTCACCCTTGTTATGAACTGGCAAAGAATTTGGCTGAATTGTGTCCATGCTGGAGGGCTTTAAGGAACGTAGAACTTAAGTGTGATGAACCACAGTATTTGGTCGGACAAATTTCTAAGCAGCAAAGCATTCAGAGAGCTGTGTGGATACTTCTAACAGCCTGTGCTGATTTATGACAGCAAAGGCATGATATAAAGGCAGAATTTATAATCAAAAGGGAAGCACAGGGTAAAAAATTGGAAAACTCTCAGTCTGGCCCCACAAAAAGTAGAAAAGCATGTACAATAGAGACAACCAAGAGTATAGCCCAGCAACCCTTTGCAAAGGAAGGGATCATGAAGAGAATGGAAGAAAGACTCTGAAGGCATTTTAGAGATCTTTGGAGCTGCCCCTCCAAGCACAGGGCCAGAGGCCTAGGGAGAAAGAATGGTTTGGGGGAATAGACCTGGCATCAACCCCAGGTCACTGTCCAGGACTGCCTCGGGAAGCTGTTCCCTGCATTCCAGCACAGTGCTCTTGGCTTCTCCAGCCATGGCTAAATTGGGCCCAGGTGCTGCTAGACCCCACTGCTTTGAAAGATACAAGCCAGGAGCCTTCGTGGTATCCACGTGGTGTTAAGTCTGCAGGCTAGCAGAACATCAGAGCGGTGGAGGGATGGCAGCCTCCACCACAATTTCAAAGGATGTATGGAACATTTGCCCGGAGGCTCGGCCAGAGATTTGTCACAGGGAGAGTCACTGCAGAGAGCCTCAGTAGAGCAATGGTGAATGGAAATGTGGGGGCAGATTTGTAGCAGAGAACCCCCACCAGGGCCATGTTTAGTGGAGGCACAGGAGTGGGTCCACCATGGAGACCTCAGAATTGTAGAGCTCTTAGTGTGAAACACCAGCCTGGGAACCCTGAAGCAAGGCCTGAGACCAGGAAAGCTGTAGAAGCTGGACTGCCCAAGGACCAGGAGGCCCAACTCCTGTACCAGTGTGCATCGGATGCCCTGGTGCCTGCTCCTGATCAGGGCACTGGCCAGTCATGCACTCTGCCAGGGCTGCACCCTCCTGGAGGGCCTGAGCTGAGGCCATCTCTATTTGGTTATTGGCAAGAAATGTCAGGGGCTGGACGAGGAAGAGCCTCAGGGTGTGTACTGGTATCGGGCTGGCCCTCAGCCTCTGAAACCATTGCTACCTTCTAGTGACTCCAGTTCTCTGGCTGAGATGTGAGGGCCCCCAAAGGGGGCCACTGGCATATACCAATGTGAATAAACCCATTACCTTGCCCTGCCTTCCATGTGAAGTTGGGAGGGGCACAGGGGACCAGTGACCTGTAACCCTGTGAAGCTAGGCCCCAGATATCTGAATCTGGATCTGAGGGAGGAGGGGACCAGGACTGGGCCTGAGGTAGGTGGGTCTGGGGGCCTCAGATGGACAGGAGGAGGGGCCTAGGGCTGGATTACTGGGTCTCAGGGAGGAGAGGCCTGGGGGCACAGCTCCTGGATCTGAGAGTGGAGTGGGGTAGAACTAGGCCTGGAAGAGGAAGGGCTAAAGACCCTAGACATCTGAGTCTGAGAGAGGAGGGGCTGGAGGCTGGAACTCCTGCATCTGAGGCAGGAGGGGGCTGAAAAACCTTCCATTCCTGAACCAGTAGGGATTAGGAGGCTGCTTGCTGAGCATCTCTGCTGGGTTCTGGGCATGCTCAGGATAGCCTTAACCCTCCTTAAGCACCATGTGTCTAAAGTTTCTTGTTTGCCTGCAGTGGGGTAAGTAAGGTCCCATGACTTGATGGGCACGGTCATTCAGAGTGACGTTCGTGATGCTTTCCTTCTGCTGCTTGTGTACAGCAGGTGCTCAATGCACCATCTCATTTCATCCCCACCACTGTCTCACTACCTGCAGCCTGAGCCTTGGATAGTGATTTGGGGGCTCCCACCAGGGTCAGCCTGGCTCCAGAGCTCTCAGAGATAGTGGGATTTCCTCTCCCCCTCCCCTATCATATTCTCAACCATCCCCACCTGAATCTCTTGGTGTCTCTGTCATGAGTGGGGAGGGGCTGGTGCATTCCCTAGACCTTGGGTTCTGGCAAAGCTGAATGGAAAGGGTCAGAGACTTAACCTCTCTGATCTTCCATTTTCTCCTCTAAAAATAGAATCCAAACTCCCCATCAAAGTATTGTTGGGAGGATTCACTGAAGTGCTCAATAAATGGTGGAAAACTTGGTTGATGACATTAAAGTTTGGCCACCAGAGTGTTCTTAGTTTCAAGGCTTCTGCCCTGTTGGTCCTAGAAGGTTGAGGCTCAGCTCCCCTCATGACCCCTTGGGGTTCTCAGTCACACCTCCAGTCTTTGCTGGGCTGGCTCCATTGTCAGAAATGAACTCTCTTTCCCATCTCCCTACTCAAATTTTCCAGTCTTCCTTCAAAGAAGCCTCCTCTCATTTTCTACTCCCACGCCACCCAGCCCAGGGTATAGAGCTCTGCTAAACCCCGTCCCCTCGGTCCTGTCCAAACTACGTGGCCATCCAACTCTTTTGGGTCTTGGACTGATCTTTGAGGACAAACAGCAGGTGTCTTTTCCCACTGGATAACAGCATCATTCATTCAAGAAACATCTACTGAGCACATAATTTGTGCAGGGTCTGTTCTGGGTATTGGTTTAAAAAAAAGACAAAACCTTATATGGAGCTTACAGTCTTGTGGGATAGAGATAAAAAATAAAC